TGGCAGCAAGTGATTGCTAACAACCAGGGCTGCATTAAAGTTGAATTCCCACTTTGCAAAATTGTTTAGTAGCATCTCTTTTATGATACACATTTTATGATTTTAAAGCGACGATAACACACGCAAAGACTTATGGGTAGACGCTTGTTTGTAAACAATTACGCTATGGGCATTTGACACATGCGCAGTTGACTTCCCCACTTTAAGATTGTTCTCAAAGTAATTTTTTTTTATATATTTGCAAACTTGGAATACAAAGTCATAACTGGTTGGTCTTGATGACTTGTAAACACGACAATTTGGAAGGCTCCCCTATAATATTAAGTGGTATTTCACAATAGACTAGTTATAAGTTATAGGCGCCATCAGTCTGTTTCTGTGCGAGATTGGGGGGGTAGGTTCCTTTGGTTCTCGGTGTTCTGTTTACAACATTACACCTGAGTGCGCAAGTTTCTAAAGACCAGAATTTGATACCATGGTTAAACAACTTTCAGTGCAGATATTTCAGAATTTGTTGCCAAAGCAATTGATTTTATAATTTCTCTTAGTAATCACAATCAGTGAATGGTGTTCTGCAAATATTAAGTGCATGTAACACAGCTTAACTCCCTGGAGTCAATGCAAAGCAGGCTACAAGATTGTGCCTGATTGGCTACCAGTTGTACTAATCAGAGGAGCTTCTTGAAAGTTTTTTTTTTTTTTAGTTCTGGCTTATACTGACTGAAGTCCAAGTTCAAACCTTTCAGTAGTTTTTTCCTTGGTCTGGGTTTCCTCAACACTAGTTTTTTGGTAGACTTTAACAACACATCAATCAACAATCTGGAATCTTGTTCAAAACCCCTTTTTAATCCTCACTGATTTAAAAGTGACATTTCAGCTGAGAAATAAATTGATAATTTACAAGAAACTTTTTTCTTCTGTTTACGCCTGCTGTTCTGATGGCATGCTTCTGATGATGTCGCTGTCACCTACAGGAACAAACAAAATTGTATATATGACTGATAATAAACAAGTCATTGACATGAGACAGATCCTGCATGTTTTTATTGTTGCTATAAACAAAATACAAGATTCAATTCTGGAATGGCAAAATATTTGATTATGGTGTATTTTTTAAGTACTAAGATGGGTACACAGACTATCTTTAATTGTGTAACAAATGTAGGTGTTGCATAATGTACTTTGATTACACTCAAACTGTTAAGTTCCAGTGTCCAGCATGCTTGACTTGTTCACATACGAAGGAGAATCTACAAGGCCTCGTTTTTTATTTTTTTCTAAACTCTGAACTGATGACTACTAAGTCACAACTAAGTAATTATTCATGAAGTGTCGTGAAGCTGAAATAAGAGAGAACGTCACAACTTTGGTCATTTTCCCTTTTTTCATCAATGTGATAATCACAATGGCCTGCAATGAGCCGGTTTTTTTAAGCTGATTGTCCAAACGATCCATGTCACATTTTAATGGTGATTTCAATGGAGCACTTTGCATCAGTAACGGCCCTTGTTACGGATTGTTAATTTCTAGGACGTTTTTCCCAGTACTTCATTACACCTTTCAAATTCTATATCTTTTCAGGACCAGTTAATACATAGTCTGATTCTGAAAAACATCAGCTTCACATTTGATTCAGTTAGTTAATTAACAATGTCCTTACCTGGATCTGTGATACTGAGTGTGCAGACACGGAAATATTTACCACAAGCTGTGCCCAATTCAATATTGTTACCAGTGTAATGATGGACACCAGTCTTGGCTAACATGGCATAGTATTCAATTTCAGATTTCCTGTTCAAGTAATTAAAAATTTAACAGTTTAGACCGTGATATACAATACCCAACAGAGACAGTTCTGATGTGTCAGGTTCAAAATGGGTTTAACAATATATACAAAATATAAGAAAAATAAATAGTGATTGTTTACTTGAATTCATGTAAGAATTCAGGGTTCTATTTCAATACTTGGCTGTAATACATACCTCAATTGTGGGCAGTTATTTGCCAAGATGACTAACTTGGCTTTGCCTTGACGTAACGATTTTAATGTTTGTTTATAACCAAGATGATATTTTCCACTCTTCATGACAAGTGCCAAACGAGAGTTAATACTCTCCATGGCCTTTTTCTGAAAAAAACAAAAACATTCCAAAATATTAATAAACTAAGTTAAATTAACAATTAGGCCGAGCTAATACTCTTATATGGTAATAACTCAACCATCTTGAGAGAAGTGCCAATCATAGGCCTTTCACTTTTTGTTTTAAGCGTTTAATACACTGATATAGCACGCATTCTGTGATTCCTAAAAGATAATAATGTTGTACGCATAGTTCTAGTGCTGTATGTATGCACATAAACACCTTGCTAGATTATATTATTGTTATATACACCAAGTGATATTAATGGCAAAGATTGGAAATGACTGCTATTTTGGCAGACAAAATATTCTTGTGCAACTGGTAAAAAAGATGCACAAGATCTTTTTGCCTGATCAAACATTTTAGGGCTTAGTACAATACCTAAAGAAAACACTTGATAGTCGATATTTTAGAAATGGCCATATCCTAAATATTAATATAATTAAAAAGAATGGGTGCAATGGCAATCAGGTTTAGGTTGATATACAGTATACCTAGTACCCAACCCTTCTCCATAATCCAAATCTCTAAGGGATTACGCTAAGTGATGTCACATAATACAACTTCACAAGGCAAAGCAATAATTGATATGCCCTAACCCTACTCCCAAACATGTGCCTGTCTATACCACATATTTAGTTACATTACACACTGGTGTGTCTGCGCTTCTATGGCTGCTGCACAAAACAACTGAAATGAGGAAAATTTATTGTAGATTCAGTGTGAAAAAGGCGATTAGCATTACAAATGATTGCACCACAACTGAAGCGCCTCGGCTGAAGTTGGGAAATTATTATTATTACGGTACCTGTTTCTTTGAAGCCACCATTTTTGCTGTTTTTTTGGGTCACGTTCTGGTACTGGTGGAGATAAAACGAGTATTATAATCTATTATATTCCAACGAGTGTCAAACATGCGAAAAAAATACCGAAATTCGATTGAAAACAAGAATTATTTGACGACAGTCGTATACTCACAACCTGTAAGTGTGACCACGTTAGGGAGAAAGAGAACGATGCATACCCGGATGTTGAGTGATCTCGTTGAAGTCTCGAACTGTCCTGTATCAAATAATTCGTTTGTGTGGTGGTAGCGGTGAGAAATACTAAACAAATATTCTCCAAGAAACCGCATATCAATCATTACATGTGTTTTGTGTATTGTTTATTACTAGTTGCCTACCAAACCTTTAAAATTGTATACGTCGACGTCTGGAGCGAGATTATGCAAATTTAGAAGAAATACCAATTTCAAAATGGCGATGGTGAAGCAGTGAGACGAGCTGGGAGCTAGGTGAATTGTTGCGAACACCGTGTTTTATTGATATTTGGTATCAGTACACGATAGAAAATGTTTATCTACTTAAGTAAAAAGGTATGGCAAAGTTTTATCCTGTAATATCGAAATGATCGTCAGAAAACTCAATAATTCGGCAGTCGTCAGGGAAGCAGTCCATTCAAATCCATAGACAAGTTGTTCAGTGATGTTGTCTATAATATTATTGTCAACAAACTACATCAGTAATTCAGATTCAATTTGCTGGTAATTTTTTCAAAATATCTAAAATTTTGACCTGTCTTTTCAGACAAAGGTCGTTAAGTTAAAGTTAAATTTACTGTTTTAACCCAAATTATAGCAAATAAATAGAAATGTCCCATGACACTGGTTGAATACTCTTACTTAGAAATGACATGCGAATAATACTGAACAAGCAAAATTAAACTGTCTCTGATTTTGAGCTAAAAGTGAAAGAAAGTTTTAACTACTCAAGGTTAAAAAACGCCTTTTATTTGAAAAACATTAAAATTAATTAGAAATGCAATAGTTTTGAACTAAGAATATAATAATATTATTTGTGTTTATGCTGTGAGGTTTTAAAATTTCCAAACACATGTAACTTAAATACAATGTTGATATTGGACGAAATTGTTATGAATCTCTATGAAATAGATTATTTATGTTGGCATCAAATGAAATTGCTTTGATTTTCCCAATTAGTATGCCTCGATGCTCTCTGAAAGGTACAAATATTTCCGATATTATTCCTATATGCTATTTATGGGGGTTGATCATTAGAATTTGAAAAAAAAACAAAAAAACATGTAGCTGCCAAGAAAAAAATTGCAGGAAAAATTTAAAAAAAAATTATTTATACTAAATAAATCCCACACATACTTGAAAGGGAAAAACAAAACCGAAATTACAGCAGTTAGGTAGTTCTATAGCGAAATACAAGTAAAATTGCCATTCAGACAACTGAATAGTGACTTACCTTACAAGAAACAGCCTATAGTAAATATATAGGCAACATACATTTTGGAAAGTGAGTTTAAAAGCTAATGTCAACCCTTTACCTCGTGGTGAAAAATGGATCTCTAAACTAGGTGTTAGGAAAAAAATAATTTGCAGTTCCTTTTTTTGTTGTGATAAATAATAAATAATGGTATAATTTTCCTGATCAGAATATAAGCTAATTTCTAATTATACAGTGGTAGCTTCAATAAGGTGTTGAGAAAAGTTGCACTGGACAACCTGTTTTTGAATGCTGCCTTTTTTGTATATTTTTAGTAAGGAAAATCAGCATACCTGTGGCCAATGTAAACAAATGTGTCTCAAAACATTGTTTATATGTCATGTCTGTTAGTGACTAAGGATTTCGTAATTGGGCCAAATGAAGGCCAATCACAAGGTGCATTCGATTAGAGCTGTGGCTGTCTGACAATGACAAGTATTGAGATTTGCTATTTTTCCAAATGGAAAAACAATATGGTTGTAACTTGACTGAGACTGATCAGGTGTTTGTTTTAACTACACTAGATTTATAAGAATTTTGCTTACATAAGGCTCAAAATACTCAAGTTCACTCTGAACTGTGCATATAGTCCTGTACCTATGCCAGTACAAAAATAAAAAAATTAAGGCTGCTCAATATGCATATATAATTGACCTCTGCTGCTAAACCAAAAGTCAATGGTGCAAAAAAGTTACAATAGTAATAGATGTAATTCCCCTGTGCTTAGTTTTGTGTGACACATAGAGAACCACACATTGTATGGTTCCAGAAATACCATAATCACAAAATGCTGCAAGGGCTAAATGAGTATGATAAATTAACACATTTCTAAACAAAGTTTATTAACAATATTTGAGGTATGTTACACTATATATTAAAGTTTTGTGGATGTAATTCTCAAAACCAACATACCTGTACACACTGTTCATGATGGTTACACACTGTATTTCAATCACTGTTACATGACTGTAGCCTCAATGCCCAACACCACATTTCATGTATACCTGTAGAATTCATTTGCACATTTTGACCTTCAGTTGTTTTTGTCATTTAACTTTCACAGATTGCCATACCTAACAACACCAAATTGAAGTGTGTTTCATGGAACAGAGAACAGGGCTACATTGCATGCGGTGGAGAAGATGGATTACTTAAAGTACTTAAACTGGAAACACAGCAAAGTGAGTTGCTTTATAAATCTTAAAAACATTAACCCTTTGAGGGATTGATTTTTTTCCTGCTCAAATATGGGTAAATTTGTTCACATTTTCTGTGATTTTCACTGAATTCATTCTTACTTTTGGACCAAACAGACAAAATGTGACATTGCTTCTAGTTTTTTGATCAAAAAAAATTAAAATTTTCGTAACTTTTTATGTAGAAAAAAGCAGACTATAAATGAAACTATTTTGTAAATGAGCCTGAATTGGACTTTGGTGCTTTGAGGGGTTACAGCAAGTCTCAGAAGTATTGGGGCAGCCAATTTGCAAACTCACTAAGGAATTGTCTTGGTCACGTCCACTCTGGGCGAGCCTATATTGCATTAGGGGACATAGAATGCTTTTACGTACGTAGCCAGGTACATGTTTGGATTCCCCTGAATGATTTGTTTTGCGAGGGGTAATAATGTATACGTAGTTTTCCTGGTAAGTCTGAGAATATCCACAGTCAGCTGACATACAATCCACTGATATTTACCATATATATGGGGGTAGCCATCTTGAACACTGATTGAAACTAAATAAAGAGACAAGTTGAGAAACAGATTCCTACAAATCAGGGAGAAAACAAACTTTCACATCCAAACAATTCGTTGGGGCAACCGCTAATAAAATTCGACATCACTTCATTACACGAAGAACATAGAACACTTTCTCTGGTATATTTGAAAGCGAAATCGCCATCCAACTGTAAGGCCGTCGCTGACTAGCTTCTAAAGTATGACAATCGTCCCTACCAGGGTCCCTACTGTTATATAGATTCACCCAAAGTGGGCGTGACAACAAGACAGCGCTAGCGAGATTCGAAGGCCAACCGTTTAGTCAAAACCAAAGCTAGCGAGTTTGCAAATTGGCTGCCCCAATATTTCTGAGACTTGCTGTAAGAGACATACAATTTGGGTCACACATACAAATTAAATACTTTATGTATGTACCGGTACATATTGTTTGAATGGTTGAAGACCATGGCTGTTTATATATTGTGCAATTAGCAGACTTTTCTTTAGAAGCTGCAACTGCAGAAATTTTTTCTCAGAATTTTAGCAGATAAAAAAATAATTTCACTCCTCCCAAAAAACATTTCCTTGTAAAATGAAAATTTTTTTTTTGAATTATTGTATTCTTATTTTTTTCAAAGTTGTTTTTCACTCATATGTTGATTATTTCTATTGCAGGTAAAGATGCTAAGGTTAGGGGTTTGGCAGCACCAAGTAATTTATCAATGAATCAATCTTTAGAAGGACATAGTGGTAAGATTTAGACAATGCATACATGAATCAGTAATCAGAATAATTTTTGTATACTCCTAATTTTGAACTAGTAAAATTATAAGAAATTGAAAAGCAGTAACGGTACAAAATCTTAATATTTTGATTTTCATGGAAACAATGACTTTGTGATTTTTTCTTATCATAAATTCTACTCTCGTGGCCATTTTAAATTAAAAAATTGTTCGATGTTGAAACAATTTCACAGAGAAACATTTCTGAAAATTCCTGTGTTTAAGCTATTTCAACTCTCAAGTGATTACTTCCGAGATAAGGATATATAGTTTGAGGTAGATGTTCCGCAGACTTAAACCAGAGTAACAGTGGCTTTCTACCTCCTAGCAGTTTCTGTAGTGCCAACAAGAATCAAGTATGATAACTTCCCTAGTTTTACTTGCACTTCATACATCTTAGAATAAATCTTTTTCCTTTTCACTAAACAGGAGCCGTACAGGTTGTGACATGGAATGAACATTACCAGAAACTAACAACCAGTGATCAATATGGATTAATTATAGTTTGGATGCTATACAAAGGTGAGTTAATATTAAAATCAAATTCACTTCAGTATTCAAGCTTTTTGTGCTTTGAATTTATGTTTACTGAAAATATTTTGTTACCTTTTGATTACATTTTTTAAATTTATTTAAGGTTCATGGTATGAGGAGATGATTAATAATCGTAATAAATCAGTTGTAAGAAGTATGGCGTGGAATGCAGATGGACAGAAAATATGCATTGTGTACGAGGATGGTAAGTTGGATCCTGACACGGTTTACGATAAAGATAAAAAAAAATGCACAGTTTGTCCTGCTTTAATAAATACAGGAAGTCATAGTGACTATAGAATAAAATTCATCTTTGTAAATATACAGAGATGGGTTGCTGAGATGTGTGAATTTGATACATGTGAATATACGTATCTAAACGTTTGTTTTCTTCTTACTAGACTAGAGTTCATCATTTCAGTTTTCATGACAGTGACAACACTGGGCCTTTATATAGAACTATCTACATTTTTGTTTGTCATTGTCCATAGGTGCTGTAATAGTTGGTTCAGTGGATGGCAACAGAATATGGGGTAAAGAATTAAAAGGAATGCAGTTATGTCAGGTTGAATGGTCAGCCGATGGTAAACTGTTGTTATTTGGTATGACTAATGGTGAAACCCAGATATTTGACTCACAAGGAAACTTCTGTGTAAGTATTACAGAAGTCTGACATGCACGGCATGTTACAGTGATCATAATTACATGCAGCACATTATGCTGACATACTGCACACTGAAATATAGTGCATCATTGACACACTGCATCACACTGACATACTGCACATCACAGGCATCACATTGATGTATATACCATGCATCACACTATCATCACAGACACAGTGTATTACATTGACAGTGCATCATGCTGGTATACAGTGCATCACATGAACACTGCTGACCTACAACTGAATCATTTGTACACAGTGCAACAACCACACATACAAATATACAACCCATCATAGTGCATCACGCTGACATACTGCACATCACAGGCATCACGTTGATGTATATACCATGCATCACACTATCATCACAGACACAGTGTATTACATTGACAGTGCATCATGCTGGTATACAGTGCATCACATGAACACTGCTGACCTACAACTGAATCATATTTGTACACAGTGCAACAACCACACATACAAATATACAACCCATCACAGTGCATCACGCTGACACACTGATGTATGACAAATCACAGACAGTACTGACAATACACTACATCATATTGACATACAGTGCATCATTGAATTAAATAAAATTGTGCATCCCTATGATGTGGCTGCATCACCATGGTGATACATCTGATTGTTTCTACTTCTTACATTGACTTTCAGTCTAAGTTGGGTTTGTTCTGTTTGACAAACGTGACCGGTGCTGTAAAGATTGCTGGCCTTGAATGGTATAATGGTAGCAGCGGTTACGTAGAACCTGGGTGTCCATGTCTTGCACTATGTTTTGATAATGGCAGAGCTCAGGTCATGAGAAGTGAAATGGACGAAAGTAAGTACGCATCTAAAACATATATTTCAGATGTAGGTGAGGCTGTTTGCTTTTTATTCCATGTACTCTTCTTCTAATGACATTTGCCCCAAGTAACTATCCAAATTATGTTCAGTCACTCCTCTCTGACATAATTTGTCAAGAAATTAGGACATGTCTTACTAAAAAGCAGCCTGTAACATGCATTTTAATTTGTTGAACACAGTTTGGATAATCCTTTGGTCAGGTGTTACAGACAATGAACACCAGAATTAAAAGCACCTGGAGCATCTAATTTGAGACAGATTAGGTGTTAGGCTTGCCATTTTCTCTTCGTAATGTGCATTTATGTGTTGTGGCAAAGAAAAATGGATCATGACAAATTTCAAACACAGGTTTATTGTCAGTTATATTATTTTCACCTGTGAAAATATGGTCACAGGATACAACTCGATGAAAATAACTTTCATAACCAACAAACATCAGGGTGAGATTATGGCATTCTGTCATATTATATCACAGTTTTATTTTACGAAAGGCAATCTTTTCTTGTGGCAAATATATAAAAGTTTACAGTACTTTCTAAGTTTACCTAGAGTAACATGTTTTACTGTTATATCTCAGATCCAGTTCTATTGGACACTGGAATGTATGTTGCTCAGATCCAATGGAACCAAACTGGATCTGTATTAGCCATAGCAGGGTCACAGAAAGCGCAGCAAGGAGACAAGGACATCAATGTAGTGCAGTTCTACACACCGTTTGGCGAGGTATTATTTTTTAAAACGTGTTTTGTCAAGATTTGTGAAAGACTTATGAAGCTATGTGAATATTTGAGCTTAATCTGACTACTATAAAATACTTAATTTTCTCTATTTTCACTGAAGGAAGAAATAAAATCCAGCGAATATACTTGTTTTCCTAAATTTTACATTCAACTCACCAAAAATCAGTGAAAATAAATTCCATACAAAACACCCAAAAAGCCTTTTCAGTGAAAATTAATTCCAGCTAGAATAAAGTATTTTAAAGTAATAATCCACTCTAGTCAAAATGGGTGAATGGCAATTTTGTTAATCATGATAAACTTACATAATACAGAACTAATAAGTCATAAAATGTGCATAACAAAGTGCCGGTAGTATGATGTGATTGGTCAATCAGTTCTATATGCCGTCATCTGGGTTGACATAATTTAATCCTGTTACAAATAAATCTGGTTCACAATTTGGCTAGCCCTTACTCAACAAGTATATGATGTGAACTGTTACATAAAGTCTAATTAATCACTTGAAGTATGAGGTTTGCATCATTACTCATGTAAATGTCAATTTTGCTTCTAAAATAATTTATTTATAGTTGCTTGTCAAACTCATACCAATTTTGAATCACTTGACTGAATACCTAACTGTATTGCTAACAATGATATTCTCATGACATGATTATATTTTGTGTCATAGCATCTGAGAACTCTGAAAGTCCCTGGAAAACAGATGCTGTCTTGTTCGTGGGAAGGTGGTGGTCTGCGTATTGCATTGGCTGTGGATAGTTTCATCTACTTTGCAAATATCCGTCCTAAATACAAGTGGGGTTACTGTGCGAATACCGTAGTGTATGCGTTCACGAAACCAGAAAGGCCTGAACATTGTGTTGTCTTCTGGGACACCAAGAACACTGAGGTAAGTGAAAATATTATCTGTATTCTTCTATGTATTGTTTTTTTTTCATTTAGTGCAGATCAAATCAAATCAAATCGAAACAAGTCCTTATTCACTTAATTCAGTCTGTATTTAACTATCCTTCAGAGTACACATAAAAGGACAAGTTGAAAAATTACAAAAAAATTGAAGTGTAATATTTATGCATCAATATTATTTATTTTTATTTAGTGTGTCTCACATTCTATATTTTTATTTAATTCAGTTTGTAGCATTTGTAAGCTCAATGTACAAAATTGTGTAAAAACTGAGATAATACCAAAATACCTGAAAATGAGACACAGTTGATTTTCCAGCTATGTGATTGATGTGTGCATGCATAACATTTCACACCGTGTATGTACATTTGATTCTTCAAAGATCATAATGGCAGTATGTCATTGTCATTGCTTGGAATGAAAAGATTACTCATCTCTAATACAGAATACATTTGTTAAAATATTTTACATGTCATTTTCTAGAATGCTAAGTGGGCTTTGATTCGTCACAAAAAGGTACTCGGTTTGTGTTATGTGACAAAGTGATGAAAAGATAAAATCTCTTCAACCTAATGATAAATGTATAAAAAAAAAAAACTTGTGATGTGCATAGTGTAATTAAATTAAATTTTTGTTACTACATCTCTAAAACTTGTATACTTATTATTTATGTGTGCAGTGACTACTTTCTTATTTCGATAGTTTCAGCCGGTTTAAAGAGGGCGCTTCATTGTTGTGAGTCTATGGTCTACAGACAACACTTATTTCAAATCAAATCAATGGCTGCTGGAATCATTACCTTATAACTATAGTACCGTTATAGTCTTACTATTACTGCTGTACAATTATTCTCATAATTCCACACTCCATGGAGACTGCAAACTGCTGGAGATTGTTAACTGCTCACATTGATTTATGTAGATTGTAACAACATATTGGTTAAAGTTGGTCAAGTGTAGCGTTCAAATTCAGGACTTTGATCATGACAACAAAACCGATAATGTCTGAACTTTCCAGGCTTGTGGTGGTTTACAAGAGTCTACCTATTACACAAAAAGCTTAGTACACACAAGTCAATACAAACAAAACTTGCAAAGGACTACAACAAATTATGATCCACATTTTCGGACACTCGCAAAAATGTAGAAAATAGAACATGATACAAAAAACAAATATGGCTAGTAATAGCGATCTTAACCAAGGTTGCAGTTACAAAGCTGTAGTATATAAGACTATAGCGGTGTTAGGAAACAGCAAATTTCTGTCTTGAACATATGATTACTTACCAAAACAAAATTGCTTTTACTCATAAAATGTGCCCTCTTATAATCACTAAAGTTACAATTTCATATCAAATTTAAATTTGATTAGTATTAATTGAAAGTTGAAAAGTTTCAAATTTAATTATTTAATATTAATTACTTGACCTATGTACACTTCTGTAAAAAATGTAAGTATCATGCACAGTCCAAATTTATACATATTAAAGCACATTAAGGTAAATTTGACAAAAAAGTCATAAACTAAAATAGTATATTTGTTTGTTAATACAATGCTGGTGGTTTATTTCCTCCAGAGATACATTAAATATGTGAAGAACCTGATTTCTGTGACTGCATATGGTGATCATTGTATCCTAGCAACCAAAGCTGATGACACCACTGGACAAGTAAGCGCTTTGGAATAGTCTGCATTATTGGAGAAATGTGTTAACAAACCACAAACAACAGTCCATCCATCATGCTTAATTTGTACATTGTCTGTCTTCGTGTCTGCCTGTTCTTGTCTAGTGTACCTTGTTGCCAGCAACATGTATTGCTACTAGTGATATTCTTTTACTGAACTTTGAATATACTTTGTATCACGCTTCCTCTAATTTTCCTATTGTTACATGGTATATGGCATATTAAAAAAGAATCACAGTTTACCTACACCAAGACATATTATTCCTCTTCCTCTCACTATTGAGGTAATTGGCTCCCTTTAAAATTTTTCGCCAGATTTTCATGAAACTTTCCATGCAGTTTGCAATCATTATAATATTGCTAAATTCAATATAAAAACTTGTGGTTACTGAGTTACTTTGTGACAAAAAGTGACACAAAATGTGTATACATTGTGATAAAAGTTTTATACAAGTGACCATCAACACAGTTTATCATCATTTTTATTGTCTCAAATTGACAATTGGTCAATGAAATACTAATTCGTGCAGTATTTTTCACATCATTGGGCAAAATTGCAATTTTAAAAGATAACAAGGTTAATTGTTTGTTAATATATGTTACTCTCCTTACTAAATCTAGAAAAGTTTTCGTCAGATTTCTTTTAAAATTTAATAAAATACTCAGCGAATTTAGCTCTTTTATTTCAATTAATAAAAATTTTGGGTATCCGATCCAGTATTTCTGGTAGAAGCAAAAATTTGGTCTAAAAACATAATTTTCAGGCCTCCATCATGACTAAATATTTGACCCCCTAAGTTGTTTAATACATTGATGGGTTGAAAAGAAAATGGCTGCAACTTTGATTGTTTTTTAATAGGTTCTTTTGAATAATTATAGCATCCATTTAAAAAATGCTCACAGCATGTAACATACTGTATGTACCTGAAAATCTGGCAGCTGATTTAAAACAGAGGAGAGCTACACTATGCCATGGGTAATTTCAATTTCTGCCCACTTGGTAAACTAATGCTTAATTTTCTCATTAAACCCAATAAACAATAACTGATATAAACATTGTAATTGTCACATTTTGAGCACCCTGATGTAACTGGCTTTGATCGGATTAGCATACTACATTGTAATTTTGGCTGCCATTTTGCCCTAATTATACCCACGGATCCGTTTCAAAGCACCCCATAATTATCACATAATCTGTACATGGACACATTGTTTATACAGTGTGTTCTAACCTGTTATGAAATATTTGCCTCATGGTATAATTTTTTGGGTCCTTTTTTTTTACTGTTAGAGACAAATTATCTCACAAAAATGTAAAAAAGTGACAATTTATATTTCATAAAAAACATTTGAGTAAACAGTCTACGCTATATGGGAAACAAAATACTTCTTTCTGTCTTTAGTTCCACATAGATGGTAATTGTTTTTTAATTTAAAAAATAAATAAATTATGATATACCAATAGTGAAGTAAGACAAAATTGTAGCTTATAGTTCCCCTTTACATGTCTTTCATACTTTACTTTCAAACAAACAAACAAAAACAATTATATGCTCATTATCATATTCATATTTTATTTGAGTTTTATATGTTTTTTATGTATTTTGTTGTTTTTTAATTTTATTACAGGACCCAGATTCACCAACACAGGTAGACACACAACATTTTTTGATAAGTTTTATTTTTATTATTTTCTGTGAAGAAACACTTTTGTACACTATACAACTAACACATTGATGGCCATGCACTAAAATTATATGTTTTTGCTGCTATAAACAGTGCTGCGCTAATTAAGCTGGAAACTGCCTTTTTGTTTTTGCTTTTGGTTCATTTTTTTATTACAGGTGGACCATACCATAATGCTTATTCTTGTATGAGTGGGAAGGGTAATTGTGCAAGGGGATTCTATATTGACTGTACTGTACTAACACATGCAATGTGCAGTCAGCAGTGATCACTATTAATATCTGGATGTCGCTTCTTGTTTCAGTCACCTGCTTCCTACATTACTTGTTAACCTTGTTCGTTGAAAACATTGATACCGATGAATGTAAAAACTGACATTGCACTATGCTTTCCTCCTGCCTGTAAAGTGTTTTATTTTCTCAATATATTTCAATCTGTGTGAAACTGACTCATTGTGATGTGATGTCCAGTCACATGGCATGTATTTAAGCTTGAAACTTACAGTTTGCCACCAATTTTTTTATTGCATGTACATGTATATAGTAATAAAAATCTGTTTTGCCGATATCCAAGTGTAATGTATAAATTATGTTAATTAGGGTAAATCTACGTTCGCACTTGGTCGGCATTGACCAATCAGTGTTTGTTTAACTTCTGCCTGCGTGCAAGTAGTTTTTGAAATAAATGGTATACAGGTTGTGATTCTATCGTTATCGGAAAACTGTATTTCTGTGACGCTATTCACACATGCATTTATTTCCTATCATAAAAAGAATTTTTGCTCGGTATCACATAGATTGAAAAGTATATAAAAAAAAATAGCAGAAAAACATAGCTTGTGCCATTTAACACTTAGCATTTCACTGCCCTTGTCAATATAGACCATTATAATGTTCATGTAATTTGCGCTTGGAATTACTGTTCACTATGAGCAGATCACTATGGTAAGGTGATCACTAACACTGGTTGACTGTATAATATTGTGTTTAAAACCACATGTGCTTGCTTGTATTTGAACTATCCTAACATCCTTTGTTATGCTTGAAGTATATATTGGAGAAAGTACAGTAATATAGTATTCCCGTAAAACATGCACTGTCTCTATTGACTAAAGGCTTCTGTATGTAACACAAATGATGTAAACTACAGTACTGTCAATGACAGAAATTCTGGAGAGTTGCTATATTCTAAGTTTTGAATGACAACTCAAGTTTCAACATTCCTTACATCCAACTTCACCACTTTCACGTGTCAGAAGCATTTTCGTTGATAGAGGGCAGGATTTATATTGGAAAGGTGCATCTTGAATTCCCATTTGTCACTGCTTGCAGTCACCTGTGTTTGCCAAGATCAATATCACACATTGTACACCATGTGTATTACTTCACACCCATAGTATTATTGTGTTTGAGTAATAGAATGAGTACTCAGTGTTTTTGGACACAGAAAACTCAATGTTTTTATTTTTCTTACAGTATGTTCTAGTGCTATGTAACTCCATCGGAACCCCATTAGATTCAAAATACATTGATATAGGTGAGTTGTTTTTTCTATTAAAATATTAAGTTGCTGTCCCCAAAGCCCCAAATATAATGTAGAATTTCATACAATTCTGTACTAATTTTGTTGGCAAATGTTCTCATTATTATTTTTCATGAAATTTTCAACATAATTAAAATATATAGATTGTCTGCAGTATTTTTATGAACTTTTAAATACAATTATATCTATTTTGTTTATTAAATTCCATAGAATTTTGCTTATTTGGGCCAAGGAGAGATGGTAATAAAAACCAAGTAGACCTTGAATTTAAAATGTAAACTTTTCACCAAAATCCATCCCAGTATTTTGTGATAGTGCTTTACTTGTTTAACTGTGGTGTGAGGAGGCACAAAAGAACAGTGTTGCTGTGATAAAAACTATGACTCTTGTCTTGAAGGTTACTGCAACATTTCCCCTAATTTATAACAATTTGTTTCATGTGAAAATTAGTGTTTTTTTTTTTTGTATTTCATTTGTAAAATCAAAATTAACATTGATGTAAGACAGTAAAAAATTTTGACTTTATGTAAACTACTTGTAGAGTGAATGATCTCACAGTCCAATGTTTAATTTTATTTTAGAACCAGTGCATGTTGCAATGACAAGAACACACGTCATTGCATCATCAAGGGAAGCATTCTACACATGGCAGTTTAAAACTCCCAAGAAACTCACTGCTATGGAAGTACATCAGTCAACATCTAAGAAGAAAGATGGCCGTGAGAGAGTGTTCCATATAGATGATACGCCCTCTGGTGCTGGGGAGGGGTATACAGACTTCTCTAAAGCTTTCACTGTAAGTATTAGCACTGTGTATGTGCAAATTGCAAGTGCTAGTGCTGATGATACATAGTGAATTTTGCCACAGAAGCCATATTCATGTTTGGGACTATCAATTGGCAATTTAATGCGCTATCCTGGCGTCAACCAGGCTCGGTTGAACACATGCACCTGTGGACCTTAACCAAGGTTCCCCCAAAGTCGCGTTCTTTAGTGAATGAACCTCGGCCAGTGGAATTGGCCTTCCCATTGAGTCTGTGGCACACTCACCAAGTTAGGGGTTGACCCTTTTTTTTGGTGCTTAGGCTAATGTAGGATTTGAACTTGGGTCAACCAATAATGAGTATGATGCGACAACCACTATGCTACCAGTGACTGGCTTTGTATTGAGCTCTTTGTAGAGGAAACGCTTCATTATCTTAACTAGACTTTATTCCTTCATTTTTTTATTTCAGGGAACTCGTGATAAAATCACATGTCTATGTGCTTCTGATAAGATGTTGATAATTGGTAGAGAGACGGGAACGTTACATCGCTATTCACTCCCACATCTAGCATTGGTCAATAAATATGCTTTAAATTGTCGACCACATGGACTTTCTCTCAATTGTAATTCTACGTAAGTCATCTGAAAACTTAATTTTGATGTTTGACATTTTTAGAATCATCTGGCCTTTATATAATTATTAGCCACTTTGTGGAAACCTGAAAACTTGACTATTAATTTGCCAGCCGGCCAGATGAGTCATTACCCAGACGCATGAATTGAATTTTGTTCAGCACTAAAACAATATACAATGTATTATGATACACATATGCTTGTCAATTTGCTTTTTGATCCAATCCAATATTGCTAAATAATGGTTCTTTGTTTTGTCTTACAAATGTCCACAACAGTTTCTCAATGATTGCTTAGCTTCATTCTCATTCTATGTTTTCATGTAAATGACAGAGGTGCGTCTACGGTCAAAGTCTAGTTCACAAGAAAGGCAATTGTTGGTTTGGTTTACAGGTGTGCTTTTAATAGAGCAAACATCTGTAATTATATATCAGTAGAGATGAAACCAAAATGTGTGTGTGTGGAGGGTTGGGTTCACTGTGGTGAAATAAAGTCCACAATGAATTTCTGTTGAAGTTCACCTACAGTATATTCCAGTTCACCTATATTCGCAACACATGGCTGAGCCAAAGAGGCCATCGCCATCTTGCCCCATCTTCACTCTCCTGTTTCTCCACACTGAGTGTTCATATCAGCAAAATAGTGTGATTCAGTCTAGTTTTTTTCGACTGAGTTTCCTGAGGTACTCCTGTGACTGTTGGTAACAGTAAGATGTGGTGTCTGGTAGGATAGAATTTTTCTTATTAGGGGCCTGTGTCCTTTTGTGTGTACCGCTAAAAAAAAAAAAAACTTGGGTGACGCATTGACCACTTGTTGGGCTTCATTGAGTCAGTTTTTTAACTCGTGCGGGACTCTGAGGCCTGGGATTTTTTTCCAAAACTGCTTGCACGTTCCTGCGTTCGTTTCAGGGGCCATGTGGGTGTAAGTGGGTGGAGTGCTCGCAGGAGCTGAATGTCGTCTCGTTTTCGTCTACCAGTACCTCAGGGTCAGCGAGTGGGGGGGGGGGGGGCAAAATAACGATCGGGTCAACCTCCTATTTCGGAGGAAACCAAGCAGGACATTGTTTTTGCTTCCCCGTCCTGAGCCCTGTCTCTGCTACTCGTCACACCCAGAGGGGACTGACCTGGCGGGAACAACCTCGGACGGCCTCCTCGAAGTCTGTTCTTTGTAACGACTATGTGAGCCACGCCGTGGGGGTGATGCAGGAAATCATCGATCCTAGTGACCCGATGTACATACCCCCAACCTCTATCCTGAAGCAGTCACTCTCGGTAGTGCTGTCGCTTCAGGAATCCAGATGGCGGGGTATCAAAAGCAAACACCGACTGCATGGCTTCCCTCGTCTGGCTGAATGCTATACAAAGCGGGTGACGCATAGATGGTGTTGATGAGCAGATGTTGGTCCCTTGCGGAATATAGGCTTAAGTCCCCAGTGTGGGGTAATCTCATGCTTAACCATTTTCGCTGGACCAAACACTACCTGATCGGTGCGGTGTCTGCTACCAAAGCCAGCAGAGTTTGGAGCCAAATCTCACGTCCCCAACCCCGGTACCACAATTTTTTGTTTAGTTGGACGGGCAGAGGGGGATGGCCACTTTCCATGGAGTATTTCGGCAGTTCAGTCGAAAACAATCCACCACACCCAGAGAGCAGAGTTGCAACCCATTAACTTTTGAGCTTGTGGCCAGCACGCTGGAACGCATGGCGTCTTGCACCAGGCGAAATGCACCAGCCTTTTAGACCAGCAGGCACAGCCGTTGTTGGGACATCGCTCTGCTATACGGGATATCCCGCAGTGTCATCTGGCTCTTGTGGCAGAAGCTGCCTCTGTGCAGCAGGATGCTGTTTTGGCTGTTTTATGCCGGCGAACTGAGTCATGGGGTGCGTCACCACCTCAGTTACGCAGACTGGACCTCCTCCCCACTCTTTTGATTTGAAGATAGAGGGAGCAGTCTTGGTGTTTCTGTCACCGACCATATTGTACAGGTGAAAATCGTGAGCCAGTTTGGCTGCTGCCATGGGCAAGCAGGAAGGACCCCAACCTGAAAAAACGTAAACAACCAAAGTCGGCACCCACTGGCCAGAAGCAGCCAGGAGGCAAGCGTCCCTACTCTTCTTGGGGAGGGAAGATTGGTGATGCGCTCCCCAGGAAGAAGTTACCAGGTGGTGGATTCTTCTCTCCCTTGGGTGGTCGCCCTCCCAGGTCGCAGGGGAAGCAGGTTTGACACTTCTGTCTGCCACAAGGGGGATGGGCATACGTTTGGCAGGAGGCAGAGTCTGAACTTCTCGACTCCTACAAACCTTGAGGGGTCTCACCTTGGCGGAGGAGAGATCGCCCCCTATGTAGAACTGCAGAGCCTATGGCCACATAGCCCTGTCGCACACAGATTGTGCCAATGTATTCCGGCTTGGAGGCAGTGGGTAACTGATCCCTGGACTCTCCATACACGGTTACAGCTAGCGTCCAGTTCTGGACCTAAGCTAAACAGGTGGTGCTGCTGCTGCATCGGTCGTCGGTACACATCAACCGTACCTGATTGATTGATACACACCCAAATAAGGGGTTGTTGGCCGAGCCAGTAAGGCTAACACAGGATTTACTATGCCAGTTGGTGTTCCTAGTAAATCTAGAAAAGTCCCACCCACATCTAACACAGCAGTTGGTGTTTCTTGGCATGGAGTTCAACACGGAGGTGGGCTTGGTCCAGTCATCACAGGCTTGTTGCCTAGCACTAAGCGGCCTAGCCGAACATTTAGTCAGCATCCCCTCTTTGTCCCTCATCATTCTGATGTATATCATCATCGCAGGGTAGTCGTCCGGTGCAACACCTGCCTCACCTACAAGAACTTAAGAGGTGAGTAACTCTCTCGGGCCACACACTGACCTAGATTTCTTTCTCCGTCATTGGCTGAATCGCAGATTAATGCCTACAGTTCAAAATAGTCATTTTGACTGAAAGGAGTCTATGGTGGGTATGAACTATGTGAATAGGCGGGTTGAAAACTCTCTGCCTAAATTATGATTATGTTATAACACAGTCTGTCTCTCAACCCAAGGCTGCTGGGCATCACATCTCTGCATTGCAACTTCACATATGTAGAGCATCACCACAAATTAATTGCAAATATTATATTTTTAATAAATAGGAGACTGGCTATCATAGATATTTCTGGTATCTTGTCATTTTTTGATCTTGATGTCAAGTTCACTAACCCAGAAGGTCAGGAAGTTCAAGGGTCAACACTGAACTTTGAGCGCAAGGATGTGTGGGACATGAAATGGGCCGAGGATAATTCTGAATTGTTTGCGATGATGGAGAAGACGAGAATGTATATATTTAGAAATTTAGATCCAGAGGTGAGTTTATGTACACAACATTTCAAAATTAATGACAGAAGATAAAGTGGTATATATACATGTAATTGTTGTATCAATGTAATTTGTACTGCTTGGTAAAAAACAACTGCTAATGTGGAATACTTTATTTTCGCTTGAATTAATTTTCGCTGAAAAAACTTTTTGGACGTTTTGTATGGAATATATTTTCACTTGATTTTTGATGAGTTTATATAGAGGGGGGGCAAGGGTTATTTTCGTTCAACGTAATTGCAATATTTTTTTGTTCGTACAACGTAAATAGAAAAAATAAATTCCGTAATTCTGTAATCACAGGCTAGACGTACAACGTAATCAATCAAATATTTTTTTCGTACACTGTAAAAATGTGTCATTTTTCTCGTACGTACAAAAATTCACATCCAAATAAAAAAATCGTAAAGAATAATCCAGGGAAATTACATTTTAGAAACTGTAAAACGACTAGATGACACAATTCACTACAAAATTGAATGTCAAGACGTAAAAGGCCCTCTAGCCGAATGAAGAGCATTACGAGGGTAATATGCGCATGCGTCTCTTCACACGGCGCAGCAATGGCGGAGAATTTGAGTCGGAGAACACTTCGAACCATTCAATGTCCCATTTGCTAACACTGTAAACTGTAAAAACGTCTTTTTTTTCTTTGTAAATTGTGAAAAGCCCTTTTTATTTCCCGTAAAACCATACCAGCTACCCCCCTTGCCTCCCCTATATATAGAAATATAGGAAAAAATGTATATTCGCTGGATTTTATTTTCACAGAATCGTCTTTTCAGCGAAAATAAATTCCAAGCGAAAATAAAGTATTCTACAGTATTTCCAAAATTTGTTGTATTAATGTAAATTGGCCAAAAACCGAAATAGTTTTGTATATTTTCACTATATGGGTATTAGTGAATTAGGTTTGCAAAAATAGAAACAATTGTGTGAAAAAATTGATGTTTATTTTCCACATTTCGCATTTTGCAAATTGTTATATCCCTCAAAATAGTGGGCATCTTTTCATGTGTTATAAAATATGTTGACACAGCAAAGTTCAAGACAAGTTATTCTTCATTACAGTTATAGTTTCTTTATCATGAAATGATACATGCAGTCATTTTATTTGATTTTTATAGGAACCAATCCTCAGTAGTGGGTATATATGTAATTTTGAAGATTTACAAATCAAGTCAGTCCTAATGGATGAAGTAATGAAAGATCCGGAACATCCAAATAAAGAAAACCTACTAGACATGGAAATCAAGGTACGTTTGGCTCCTTTTTAGTCCCCTGTTCGGACACAGTCCGAAAACGGGGACTTATGTTTTGACCTTCGTGTGTCCGTGCGTGTGTGCGTCTGTGCGTGCGTCCGGACCTGTATCTTAGAAATGCCTGGACCAATCACAATCAAACTTCACACATACATCATACATGATAGTATACATATGCACGTCAATTTGTTTCACGATCTGATTCAAGAGGGCCGAATGGCAGCCATTTTTGTGCTAAAAATCATCAAAAACAAGCATTTCTCAGCTGTTAACAGATGGATTTTGTTCAAACTTGGAATATGCATTAGACATTATAGGACCTTGATGCACATCATTTTGTTTTACAATCTGATTCAAGATGGCCGAATGGCGGCCATTTTTGTGCTAAAAAATCATCAAAATCAAGCATTTCTCGGCTGTTTACAGATGGATTTTGTTTCTTTGACTGATTATATTCCAATTTTATATATTCGTTATACATCATGTTATATATATACATGTATTCAAACTGGCTGATTCTGAATGCTGTTCCAGAGCAATATCTTTCAATACGAACAAGTCCTTTTTTGATGATCAGATACAAATGTCAATCATTTTAATGTTAAAAAATCATATTCCTGACATGGTTATATTCCAGCTATATTACTATAAACAAAACTATATATCTTAAATTTGATAACTAACAGGGAATGTACCATGCATGGCTTGTTTATTATTCATTTGACCACCATCATTTATCATATCTGAACTTTACTCAAGCATGAATAAAATAGCATTGATACGTGTATGTACCGACAACTCCAGCACTACCTAAGTGGCCTGCTACATCTCAATCACACACTTTTCTGTGGTTAAGTGTAGATCATTTATTTTTTTATCAGAGTAGAGAGTTATTGATTGAATGTACTGCCTTTAATATTGAAACAAGATTGGGTTGAAAATTTTCATCTGTTTTTATGAATGTATATTTACCTGTACATAATAACTGTGATATTAGTGTGCATACCGTAAAAATTTGATTAATTCGCGGTAGTAAAAATAATTATTTTTTCAAGTGCGCGAATTAATAGCGTAAAAACAGGAAATTATTGTTTTTGGTGCGCGAATTAAAAGAGTACTTTTAGATCGATTCAAAAAGGAGCTGTTTTCATAAATTTATTAGTGATTTTTTTTTTTTTTCGTTGAACACGATTACAGGACGTTGTTTTAGTGCCTCTGAGACTCATGGCTAGCGACATTCATGGCGTATAGTCGGGCAGAGAACATGCACTGCGTCAAGAACCATGTTACGCTTGAAATGAAACAGTGAAATGGCAAAGGTCACTCTGTACACAAACAAACAATGAACACGTGGCTACAAAGTAGCCGTCTGGCTGCATTGCCTTTTTTTTAATTTTTCTAGGCAGTACCGTCAGACACAAATTATTAATTGTTTGACAGGTCGTCAGCAGTTAAGCAAACCAATCACCATTCTCGTCGTCGTCGTCAAAAAGCAGATCGGCAATGATTTCTGCTATTTCAGTGTTGCTTCGGATAAGGTGGTCTTCTGCCCCGTTGATTGCATTTTTGTAGTCATGTGTTCATTGTTTACATGATTGTTTTTTTTTTGTCCACCACTTTCATCTATAGGGAAAATGTGACACGAGGTCAATCGCCCGACCAATCAAAAACGTCAATTCACGCACCATAGGGCGGTTCACTTAATGACGTCATAGAATAAAATCACTTTCCAAAATGGCAGACACATGGTCAATGCAACCCTGTGGACAGGCAACGAGAAGCCCTGTACTAAGCTTTCCATCACGGAAATTCATAGTCGATGTGCTGACCGATGGATATTTATCGACTAAGTAATAATCTTGCCCAACATCTGTAGTGTCGTGGGGGAATGATTTTTTTCAGGTCAAATTTTGACTGAACCTAAACTGCTTGCTAACTGAAAGGCTGTCATGACGGAGGTCGTCTGCGATTGCGGCTATACCAAGTACTGATACATATAAAAATTAGCATTCGAAAATAAAATGGGTGCGCGAATTAATTTATTACGATATATTAAATTTCTGTTTGTAAAACTGGTTGAAGCTTGTTCAGCTGTTACGTAAATAAATGACTTAAGTTACCAAGTCTTATTTTGAATATTTGAGTATTTCCAAAACCTGGTTTGCATGTCAGATCAAGGAGGTTGTGGGTTAACCACCCCCTCCTCAAAACTGCTCACTTAGCAGAATAAGTTATAGTACTTTCTGCCCTGACTATCAATAATGGAGTAATATAGGTATCCTGACTGATTGTTTGGGAGGGTTTTCTCCTCTCCCACAATGTTTGTGGTAAATTACCCTTGCATCCTCATCTCAAAGAAAAGTAACTTTTTGTTGGATGAGTGGTTTCACATGTCAACTTTTGGTAGGAGCTGCTTCTCTAGATCTCTAATTGTTCTCTTTGCCCGTTGATCTGCACACAAATAAATTATAATTTTATAATTCCTATTTTAATTTTTCCAGTCACTGAGAGACAGTAGAGATTTATTGGATAAAGTTGGTATTGAAGATGCATCTCAGTTTATTGAAGATAATCCTCATCCCAGACTGTGGTAGGTTTTATGATTTTAATTTACTGGAACATAAAAGACAAATCCCATTGTGCATTGTAAAAGCCTTTGTTGGGTTGGTATTATTAATATTGTATACTTTAAAGTTGTATTCATACTTTGTGAATATGTGAAACATTATTCTCAGAACCAGCTAACGAATATTAAGAAGTATGTTAAATTTATTTTATGTAAAGTTTGTACGTTTTTTTTGGGCCTGGTAAAAAAGTGTCATAATTTTTTGCAGCAGAAACTGAATTGGTGAATGAGTGTAAGCTGGATTTATTGGCCAGGTGTCTGCATTGAGTTTGCCATCAATACTTATACTGAATTTGTGTGATCTCTTTCACAGGCGTCTGTTAGCAGAAGCTGCATTGGAGAACTTGGACTTGAAGGTCGCTGACCAGGCCTTTGTTCGGTGCCGTGATTACCAAGGCATTGAATTTGTCAAGAAACTAGGTAACCTGCAGAGTGAAATGATGAAACAAGCCGAGGTAGCCGCTTATTTCAAGCGATTTGAAGAAGCAGAAAGGATGTATCTAGATATGGATAGGAGGTAAGAGAAGATCTCATAATTTAATTTGACCTAAATAATGATAATGATGAGTCTGATTTCTTTATCAAATCGTACTCTATGTTCCTTTCATTCTTGCCCTCATAATTAACAAAATTACTTTCACTGGACACAAACAAATTCAAAAAAACATTGGCTTGTCAAAAATTATGATGATCATTAGTATTGAACTGGTGAAACAATTTCCAACCCTGGGATACATAATGTATTTGTGGTTTGAAATTTAAATAGTTTTCTGTGGCAATACATTGCAGCAAAGAATGGTTGTTTTGCGGCATCTTGTGTTTACTGCAAGAATTCAGTCACAGTAGTTAAAGTACACCTTCATTTCAGCAACTTGCAAGTACACCAATTAATTAATATCTTACATTTGTTGTCCATATCATGGAAAATTTTATGATTTCTTGCTTTCAGGGATTTAGCAGTTAACCTGCGAGTCAAACTCGGTGATTGGTTTCGTGTGGTACAACTCTTGAAGACAGGAAGTGGTGGTGGTGATGACCAGCAGTTAGAAGACGCTTGGAATGCCATTGGGGATTACTATGCGGATAGGCAGAAATGGCAGCAGGCTGTGACATACTATGTCCAGGGTAGAAATCAGGAACGCTTAGCTGAGTGCTACTATATGCTGGAGGACTTTGGTGGTCTGCACAAAATGGTTGAATCTTTACCTGAAAACCATAGACTCCTACCAGTATGTAACTAAAGTACTACATTTTTGTTTGTAATAATAAAAACTATTGACTGTTGAGATATTCTGGTCACTAGAAAGTGTCAATGACAACAACAATGACAAAGACAGACATGATAATCTCTATACCTCACCATTTCATTATGATTACACACTAGTTAAAAATAAAGTGAAAATGATGTCAGACTCACACACACACTATTTCTTATGAAGGCAGGGCTTATATAGTTCTTTAAAGCGAAAGGGTTGTCACCTGCATATGCACGGGAATTGAGTCCTAAGCGACGATTAACAACACACGCTAAAAACGCAAAGGCTCGCGGCAGAAGCTTGTTTGTAAACAATGACAAGCTATGGCCATTTGACGCATGCGCAGGTGACGACTCCCCCACTTTAAATATACTTTTGAATGTCAAGTTCACTGATTGTGTTGACCCAGAATGCCTGTGATGGAAAAGGTTTCCCATTACTGCCACTGCCATATTTTTTCAGACGCCAAAACAGCAGCAATGTCAGATAAGTTGTTGACTGGTTTGCTATGTGGTACATTGAATATCACTTGAATAAGTGATTCACCTCTCAATTTATTTTATATAATTGTGTAAATTGCTGTATGACAAAAGACATAGTTAAAGTTAAACAAGTCGGTAGGCTGGTTGGCGATCCGCTCCGCTCAAAAACAAGCACCATGTTTTTGGCTGTTTCCATGGTGTGACATAAACGTGAAGCTAACGTCGGTTTATAACTAATACGAAGTTCGCAAACACCATTCAGTTTTTGGAAGTCACTTAGTTTATTACTAGGACCACAATCACTCTCCTAGTCGAGTGACTGTGCTAGGACGTATTCTGCTGTTACATTTATTATTTCCAACCGTTTTGCGATAGCATTTTCTAGAATGAAGCGTTTCCTGTAAATGCTGGAAAGCGAAATAATGAAATAACGAGATGGTAAATATTTACCTAAAGTACAGTGTGTTGACCTTCATAATAATATACTTCATAATGCAAAACATTAGTCACGGTGAGTTATTTAAATATACGACTCCTAATCGAAAAATATGACCACAGTCCAGAATTTCAGACGGATATTAAGAAACCTAAGAGCATATCAAAAGCATTTACTCTAAAATATAAAAAAGAACTGCAGTCAAAAGTCAAGAATGCCAGCAAATAAAGGACTGCCCCACAATCCTTTGTGCGCGTTATTACGAAAAAAACTGTACCACGCTTGTCAAATCTGGGTCAAATATACAGTACGCTACTATCTTGCCAC